TTGAAATTGCCTCATATACATGTGTATATATATACAGATACATGTATAAAAAATATGCTAGCTGCATGTTTCACATTGTTCAATATATCAGGTGATATATCAATATATCATTTGCAGAATTTGATATTTTTGGAGTAGTTGGTGTAAACAGACATTTTATGTTTTTGAGTACAGCTTCAAAGAATTGGGTTTGATTGCTCTATGCAATTCTACAATCAGTATTTTCCTAATTCTCACTAACTCTTGATATGTGAATCTTTCATCTTAGAAGAAAACAGCATGGATGTAAATTAATCTACATTTTCATCAGTAAAACTGATATATGTAAGTTTTAAAAAAATCAATTCTGCTTAACTTGGTTTGACTTTGGAAGAAAAAAAGAGCATGAAGATTGCCAAGAGAATGTTGTTTCAGCACAATGCGGTTTCAGCATTTCAATAGAAAAATGCAAATAAATTGACTCGATGTGGTGGTGAAAAAGACATTTAACTGACCTGTTTCAGAAACTTGGGTACCCCAAAAACCTTGGCTGTGTTAGGGGTATATAAGCGCTGTGTCAGACTTTAGGTTTATAGAGCACAGGAGTATAACATGGGATCCAGTTTATCTTGTTATATTTCCATAAATTTTTTCCAGATTTTTTGTTTGTTGTGATAGCAAGAACAACCTGGAAAATGATGCAGACAAATCTTGACAAATATTTTAAACATAGTACTTTTAAAAATGCATGGCTTTTGTTTAGCTCATGCTGTATAAACATAAAAGTCAATACTAAGAATTTCTGCCTATATAAAGGCAAACTGAGTTCACAAAAGTTGCTTGGAATTTATACATATAGTGATTTAGTCCTAAATGTTTCTGGAATATGCTGTTTCTGTGTCTCCTCCAGCTTCTGAGTGCCTATACAAATACTTTTTGAAAAAATTCTTTGGCATTTAAAACCTGAGCAATCCTTAACCCTTTAAAAATAACTTGTATTTCTAGCAGTGTCAATGTCTCCTAATACAGAAAATGAGAGAACTGTCAACAAGAGGGAGATTTAAGAAGACAGATATTTTGTTGTAAGCTAGTAGAAGGACACTGAATACGTGTTCAGCCATTCTTGTCACTGGAAGAGGCAGATATGCAATGCAGGTGAATTTGATCTCAATCTGCATCTCCTTCTAAGGATCTTTGGTAACCAATTTCATGTGTCTGCTCTCCTCTTCATAGTGCTCAGCCTCTGTGCTTGTTAACTGTACAGTCTGTGCCAGCCTTGCTTCTGCTGGAACAGATTTCATACAGAGAGCTAACAATGAACTGTTTAGTTAAGCACATTGACAGAGTAGGTACTGGGGATCTGCTGAACAACTGACATCTGGGAGGAGCTTACTCTCTGTGCCTTGCTAGATGGGCACAGAGTTCTTGTCCATATGTATGGTAGTATTGTATATGTCAGGGTTTTCAGAGTCTTGGCTCTTTGGATACACACATACAGCTGTTGAATAGACCACAAAGAACCAGACTATGGAGACAGGTAGAGGAAAACGTCAAGATGATCAGCTGAAGATGATACCCCTTATTCTTTCCTTTCAGAAGACCTGTACCAAAATCTTACTTTCTGCAATCTGCCTGGCAGTGTAAATCAGTAGCAGTATTTGTTTTGATACAGTATTCAGTGTGCCTGTTTAGTTTTTTTATTCAATACGATATTAAATTATGGTAAAAAGAGTAGTATAAATATCACAGCTGTTCGCAGAGGTTTCCAGACAATATAATTACTCAAAATGTTATTGTCCTCTGCAGAAAATAAAACAAAAAAAATGCCTTTCTTAAAGATTTTTTTATCAAAATTAAAACCTACCGAAGGCAGCTTAAGCAGTACAGAAGAAAATCACTTGAAATAAATGGGTCTCTGTTCCGTTACTGGTGAATTAAGTCACTTGGAGCTTGTTTGCTTTGCTTGGTTTGAGATTTTTTTTCCCAATGTTGTCCTTCAAAATCATAGTATGGAGTTCAAAGACAACCCTAAAAAAATTTTTATAGGAGTTTTTTTACTGTTATAAATAGACAAAAATATATAAAAAAGAATACTTTTATTTGCGCAGTAGGCTTTTGACAACTTTTTTTTCTAAATAATGTATTTTTAGGTACAATGTAAACACTGAATAAATCATAGAATCATAGAATCAGCCAGGTTGGAAAGGATCTCTGAGATCATCAAGTCCAACCCTTGATCCACTACTGCCATAGATACCAGACTATGGCACTAAGTGCCACATCCAGTCTCAAAAAAGAATTAGTAGCGCTTCTTATTAGTGGACTTTTTAGCTTAGAAATTTTTAAGTAGAATTTTAATGACTTATGTAACCATAAGGTTATAGGGTCAAGTTAAATCCTTGATTAATGTCATTGATTTGGTCTGTGGCTTCATCACATATAGGGAATTAATTCATTTCGAGGTGGCGGAGAATTGATAATGCTTTGAAAAAATTATAATACCATAATTACAGAAGTGAAGTTACTACAAAGAATATACAGGTTCATAAGAAAGAATCTTAATCAACAGAAGTTGGCTAAATTCAATCTCAATGCAAGACATCCTCCAGCTTTGCCCAGGTATAACAGAGTAAACTTCTGGAAAGAAATCAGAGATAGATTAATTGGCATTGCTAGTGAAGTATTACTTTTCTTCAAGATTACAGGTATATGACATACAATATATGTTTCAGAATTCCTAAACTGTGCAAGTTGCTGTAGTACCTTAGATTTAAGAGCTTTTCTGAATACCTCTATGATTTCTCATGTGTTAAAAAACTAAGCATGTGGGAAAGCGTTTTGAAGAATCAGGGCATAATAATACAATTGATTTCTAAGGGACTAGTTATGGAGAAAAATTTGCTCATCTTGAGAAAAGGGTGGCAGAACTCTGCATAATAAATAGAATTTTGGAAAAGACACTGGTTTTTTTTAGTCTATTCCCTTGACAATCTAAGACTGCTCCTTATAATGTTGAATGCTCTATTTTTTAACACTGTATTTAATTTCCTTGTAAATTACTCAAACTATGGTTCTGCTACCACTTCCCCAGTCTATATCATAAATCAGAATGTGCATGTGCTTGTTTGGTATTGCTCAATAAAACAAATAACAACAGATCTGAAAAAGACATCAGAAAACTGTTTATTCTTAATTTATGTGAATGATTGCTTATTTCACTGTTATGTTTAAGTGTATAATGACTTCTGCCAAAAGAATCTGACACATATTGCATTTGATTAATGAATGCCATTATTTGCTATTGGCCTGAAATATTTATCTTTATCTAAATTTTTTTTTCAGAATGGACAGTTTTAAAATTAGATTAAGCACTTCTGTATAATATCTATTTCTACTCCTAGACAAATCACCCTTTTATTCAATTAACATTACTATTCCAAGCTTTACCAAGTAATTTCCCAGTAATGTAGTATAAAACTGTTTCACTGTTTGCAACAATCAACTTCTGCACAAAAATCAGTTGAATAGAAAAGAAAGAAATCATAAATGTGTTGATAATAATATGAGACGTAAAATGAGTGTGTACATTTTTGTAAGATGAATCCTTAGATGTTCTTGAATTGTGTTTTTCTAATGAGTACCTCTGGGTATTGGTCAAATTCATCATGTCTTAATTGTTGGTATCATGAGGATGCAGTTGCTCTTCCTTTTTTTATTTTCCTTTTTTCATGAATTTACAATTCAGCAGTCTAAGCTTAGAAGGAAAATAAACATGAATTAATTTTACCAAGTAATTCTAAAACTCATTTTAATTAGTCCCTTACACTCTACAGTTAACCGTGATTGCATTTCATATTTTAGTCTTTCTTACTTTGTGTAAGGAGAAATACTCTCTACTAACAATGTTAGTAGAGTGGAAGAATGAAATGATGCATCTTTCTACATTAGCAGTGCAGTTCAATTTTCCAAGTTCCTCTGATCAAAAATCTTGATATGTCAATTTTGCTAAATTTTGCCATCTACCTTAAGTATAACTGATTACATTTCTTGATTTAAGGATTAAGAAGTCAATGAAAAAGTTATCTGAGCAAGAACACAAACTCAGTCTTAGAAAATGCTAATCTGTGACTTTCATTACATCTGATTCTGCTTACTGTATCTGACTATTAATACTTAATTCTTGATGCATTACAGATTGTGAAATTAAAAAAAAAAATATCTCTGTTTGTATAAATCCATAGATCTTAGAGCTCCTGTAGGTAGAAAATAGCTTCACGGCGATAAATTGATTCTCAAGCAGGGAAATACTTTTCCCCACTTATGTCCTACCTTGTTTAATAGCTTATGGAGCTTTGCATCTACAAATTCTGCCCTTGGAGAACAATGGTCCTACTCCCTTGGAAACTGATAGAAATTTTGGTCTTGGTTTTGAGAGGAGCCTATAGTAATAGATCAGTTTGTGCGTTATTTCTGAAGATTTTTGTTCTTTATATATGAGGTAAGAAATTCCAGTCTAAGATCTAGAGTCTTCTACAAAACTTGATGACTCTACAAGAGGTCCTTGACCAATACTACATGGTACAAAACAGCTGTTCAGTGTGAGTTGTGGCAGGAGAATTGTTTTCAGATTCCATCAGTGATCAGATCTCCCCCCAGTGTCACACAAAAACACTGGACACAGATGATGCAGACAGTGATGTTGGGTTTGCATGTCAAAAGTCTTTGCAGCTGAAAGGCACCAAGGTTCTCATATATGATTAGCACACGAGCCCTGTGGGGAAAACATCTGCTCCTCCAAATGGGATTACAGTAGAACTGCTGCTTTCCCAACATGTATTCCATAAAATGGAACTTGGGCAAAGTTTATGGTTGGTTACTTTGTAGTTTGCATCTTTTCTTTCTGTATTATCCAACATGTCCACCTTCGCTTTCTTTTTCATTCTCAGGAGAATCTGATTTGCTTATCAAGTTCTCTTTCTCTCTCTTTCTCTCTTTTTCCCTGGTTTTTCCCCTTCATCCAGATGGAATGCCATTTGCTTGGTGGGTTGGCCGTGCCAATGAAAAGCATCTTTACTGGGGAGGATCTCTTCCGGGCATTCAACAATGTGCATGTGGACTGGAAGAAAGTTGTCTGGATATGAGATATTTTTGCAACTGTGACGCAGATAGAGAAGAATGGTAATAATTTTAACATGTAAATGGCAGTGTCTGTATGAAGAGCTGGTGATAGGAAGTAGGAAAGGAAGGGTTAAATCCTTTCCTGATTCACAGTTCAGGAAGATTGAATGGCTTGAGTGTAATCAGACAAGAATGAAAGTCAAACTAGAATTTGGACTTCTGATTTCATCTTTAATTTCTTTTTTGAACCGAAAACAAGATATCTGGCTGAAGCACGTTGCTGGAATGGGTGGTCTTAAAAAAATATTTCTCGTTGAATGCTGAATCCAGTAACTGTATTTGTTTAAAAATTTTTATTCAGTTGGAGCATTGCATGAATAAAGGTTCTGAGAGATTGGTTCATGGGCATATATCAGAGGAGAAAATTCAAGCACAGACAGCAAAAGTCAGGTATAGCTAAACAAGAAATATGTACTATTAAAAAGAACAGTATTTTTCCTAAGAGACAGTATATCTGTATGTGCCTTAACATTCTTTTACATTGGATCCCAAGCTTTTTAAAGTCAATAATAAGACTTGTTTTGGCTTCTGTAGGCTTTGGTTTAGTTTCCATAGGAAGTTTTAGTTACAGTATGAATATTCAAAGCCTTCCCTGGCTTTTGACTTTTGGTGTGCTCTGATGCTGCATGAATTTGGGAAGGCCACCTCACAATCTTCTCTCATTCTCTGCACCTTCAGAGAACTCCAAACACCAAGAGATAGTTGGTGAACTTTCTAATTAATTCCTAATTGTGTTTGAGGGGACTGAAATGCCAGATGAGTGTTGTTGGAAGTGCAGTTTGAAACACTCATGTGAAAACTCTCATTCACTCTTACTTTTGGACCACTCACTGATAGGAGCTGCTGTCCTTTCTCTGAAAAAAAAAAGATATTTTAACCTTGAGTAGTTCAGAAATTATGAATAACAGAAGTAGACAAGAAATGTATTACAGTCATAGGCTACTGTGTTTGAAATAGTGTCCAAATTATCCCCATGAAACCTTCACTTAAAATGAGTAGAAAGGAATTGTAAAGAGTCCTGGAATACAAAAAAAATAAAATCAGAAATTACTTGTCACTGTAAGTGTTGGGTTTTTTTGGTTGCTTGATTTCCAGACAGTGTGAGTATTTGCCTGGACCATTTATTTCCCTGGGGTCACTATTCGTTTTCAAAAATTATAACTGTAAGGGGATTTCTTCAGGAAGATGTTTATATAAATGTTGGCTTATGAATGTGTTTTGTATAGAATAGGCTGGCTGTGCATGTTAATCTATCTTTTCTTTAATGTTTGTTTATCAGATGCGCTTTTGACAAGGTTTACACACGAGCATCAAGAGCATCTGTTTTTACTAGTGCTTGGCTCTTTTCATAATCCACATTCCATTTTTCAGTGAGCTACTTCTCAAGTAGAACAGGGTGTTATGCTGGCAGACATTGGGATTGCAGTCTGTGATTGCAGGACTGCACCATTAGGTCATACAAGCCAATGCAAGGTGAAAGCTAAATGCAGTTTTATAATGTTTCAGCTAAGTCTCCTCAGGAAATGAGACCCAAGCAAGTTATGCTGTGGGTGTTTATCTCCATTTTAACCCCACACCCAATGATTTTGAATAAAAAGACACATTTCAAACATCTTGAAGAGAGAAAGAGAAATCTCAAAAGTATTACAAATTACATATTCTATGAAAATTTATGCCAGGCTGAGGGGAAAAAGCCAAATAAAATGCACAAGAAAGAAGTTAAGGAAGCGTACACTTCTATTAGATTTTGGAAAACCCTCATGGGAGGGAGATGTTGGAAATCATGCGTCATTAGCTTGGCAGCTCACAGAGCTACTTGTTTCTCCTAATTCCATGATAATAGCAGAATATGCTCAGAAGTCTCGTCCACTAAACTGCCTACTATTTGTTGGTTTGGGGGTTCAGTTGTTTTGGCGTTTAATCCATGAGAAATTTTTACTTTGGTAGCATTCTAAATTGCAGATTGTCTTTTTAAAAGCTGAAAAACCCCTGACCTTTATGAAGAGTTTCTAAACATAAGAAATTTCATGCCTCTTGAAGATTGCTTTTGTGTTTCCCTGCTAGAACACCGACCCCCTGATATATAACGAGCATTAAAACCTGAAACCTGCTGAGATCTGAACTGTGACTTTAACCTGCTATACATTATAGTGGAAGGAGGAAGACAGCAGTAGATGCATTTATTTGCCTCGGCATGAAATAAAATGGGTGCTGCAGAGTGGAAAACCAGAAAATCATTTTTTGCTCTTTTAGATAAATCATGCTGCTCCAAGGTAGAAACTCTCCAGAATAGTTGGAACGTCCTTCTAAAGAGGAGACAGGCCTAAAATTTTGCTTTGATTTGCTTTCCATAGACTAAATCTTAGTTATAGAAGGAGCTACTAATTTCTCAGAGCAGCAAAGAAATCATAAACAATGGAAGGCAGACCTGACAAAGTCCTGAGCCAGGTGTTTGGCAGCACACAATATGCACTTCTAGGCATGCTGACTTTTAAATGATATCTGAGCAGACACCTGAGCCAGCTGCTATTTTTGGGCTCTTACTTGACAACAAGTTAGTCCCCCTGGCCAGATGAACAGGAATGTATAATTAAATGTGCTCTATGGGGAAGGCTTTTGTATTTTTCACCTTTGTTATTATTAAAGCATTATACTGATAAGTATCTTCTTCCATCCAGCTCCTCATCATACTTCCAAGCTTTGCAGTATGATTACAGCTAATTCTGTCACTGCAGGATAGTGGAGCATTTACCAGAGAATGGGAGAAGATCTCTGATGAGGAAGCAAAGGCATAAGTTGCCACCTTAGGTTTTTGAACCAAGCAAGGGATCTGGAAAGGTGTCAAACGCTCTTTGACTGTAGTTTATGCGTGCTTCAAAAAAAAAAGAGAAATTTCTGACGGTTGAAAAAACTTGCTAGTGGCTGGGAACATTCATAGAGATCCAGTGGCTTCATGCTGAAGCTAAATCTAGTTCATAAAATGTTTTATTTTTCTTTCTTCCTCTTCCCCCACACTGAGAGTAGTTAACTGTTGGGACAAGTTGTGTGTAGATGAGGCAGATTTGCAATTTTATTTCAAAACACATGCCCTCTTTCAAACAGAGGATGCATTCTTGTTGCAGGCATAATTGGGGAAATGTGTTAAACTGATCTAAAGGATAAAGCATTACTGAAATACAGACAGGGTAGTGTTATAATGAGATTGTTTGGATTCTTAAGTACCTCTCCCAGGTTTTCTTCCATCTCAAGCAAAGTTCTCTTGCCTTGGCAATTAAAGCCTTGCTGCTCACCAAAACCTTGCATTTAAATGGAAGGAAACTCTTCCATGCCATGGTGGTACATGACTGTCCTGAAGTCCATTTCTGGTTTGATCTCTTTAGAATCCAATTTCCACTTCAAATGAAAAGACTTTAGTGAAGCCAGTCATCACCTGGAAACCTTGTGAATTTGGAGAACTTCACAGTTTTTTATTTTGTCAGAAAGAGAGGCATCTCCGGAACTCATTTTGTACAAGAAGCTCAGGCGTCTCAGCAAAGCCTGTTGGACTGTTAATTCCAATGAGTAGCTGATTGACCATCCTTTATTTCTATTCTCCAGTCTTCCTATTCAAACTGTAGGAGTGTCCTCTTCTTTTGTTTTCCAGAGTAGTCTCCTTCACTGGGGAACTAAGCCTTTGCCATTTCCAAAGAAACATGCGCTCACCTCTTTATCATGTCTTTGGGGCACTCCATGGAGTAAGGAAACCACAGGACGTGAAAAGGAGGGGAAAAAAAGGGAAAGTGGATACTGCTATTGTCAGACACACTTTGTCTTACAGAGATATACTGAGCATATCCAGCCTTGTTTGAGGAGGAGCAAAGCCACATGGAAATGAATGAAGCCTTGCTTGGATGAGCTGTATTTGTGCAAAGCTGTGCCAGAGCCAGGATGCTAAAATTGGAAGGGCTGAGGAGAGCAGGGCAGAGAAACCCTGACGAGCTCAGATTTGACAGGTTTTGTTTGCTCAGCCACTATCCCACACTGAATCCATTCCCCCAGAAGCAGTGCAGGCAACTCTACAGAGCCTGTGAGCTCATAAATAAACCCTGCCAGAGGTGACCTGGCCTGTATAGAGCTGTCTTGGATATCTGCTGTCATGACTGCATTTGTCAACAAATGAGAAGAGCTGCCTGCAGAGAGCTGACTGTAACAGGACCCTGAGGTGTCAGGAATCAGTTCTTTACTATCATTACCAAACTCTGTACCTCTTCTCTAATTCAGCCAAATATAGGCAATGCATCTTGCCTTCAGCTGTTATGTCTGTTATACAGATCATGGGTAACATAGCAATTAAAATGTCTTGCTTCGGATTATTAATGGTATGTCCTACACAGGCCCCAAAACTTTTTCTGATGGAAGCCTGTTTCACAGGCCCATCCCTTATGCGCTTCATTGCCATCTGCTGATTCCATTCCCCAAATGTGTGGTAGTCATGAAAATCTGTACTGAATATCTGAGCTACTGAGGCTCTGTTCCCTCTAGAGTTTTCATTAATGTACAAGAGGAAAACGTACCAATAGGGGATAATATGAGAATAAATTATATTTAATGGCACCACTGTTCTACCATCTGTTAGAAAAAAATATGGAAATGGCTACCTGGAGATTAGCAATTTATGATGGCTCACACTGTTAGGACGCCATAGAGTAAGAGTTTGTTGAGCATACTTTTATTGGTAGCCAGGAAGAAGAAAAATAGTTTCATAATGTTATGATCAAAATAGTTATTTGTCATTTATAGGTAAGTTTACCTTTACTACATCCTAAAATATCCAGTTACTGCATTATCACCTTTAGCATTGCTGTGTTTGCAGCAAATTTTTTTTCTTTTTTAAATCGACCCATAAATAGAGCATTTGTTTGATGTGTAACATGCCTCATAGCTTATTAAGGAAGTCTTTTGGGTAGATGCAGACGTTAATCTTCAGACATGGATAAACAAATGACATCCAACTTTATTTAATACCCATAAATAAAAAATTTTCAGTGATTTAATTTAAAGGGCATTATTGGATTTGTTTTGTTTGGGATTTGCTTGTGGGAAGTACAAATTGATACTATCCTTTAAGTTAAGAGCTCAGAGAAATATCTGTTCATTGAGGGTTCTTTCCACCTTCAAAAACCTTCAGATTTTCATCTGAATTTGTGCCAAATTGAGTGCCAAGTCAGATAAGCGGGAGGTCTACTTCTCAAGTTTATTAATTTATCTGTACCATTTTCTGTGCATACAGCACTCCTTTCACGGAAGTGATTAAACCTGCCTTGATTTTTGTGAAATCAGGACTTAATTTACATTCCTGGCCAAGGGACGTCACCCCCGCAAGGATGTTCCTCAAGTGAACTACCCTCCTGTAGTTCTCAATACTGAGAAGCAGGACACAGTGTGATGCAAAGGACATGCTTGGTGGAAGTGGTCACAGAGTGCTATGTGAAACACATGAACAGAAATAAAGTGGTGGGTTTGGCTAATCCGAGAAGCAGCTGTGGAAAAGAAATATAATCTGTTTTTAAGTGTGTGTTAACTGCTAAATTAAAATACATATAAGTAAAAAGGATCTCTGGGAACAAACACAAAAATTATTAACAAGGTTTTATTTTTTTGTTTAAAAGACAAAATCGTGTATATGCACATCATAGTGTAGATGCTTTCTATCAGAAAATAGCAATCTTATTTGAAAACTGTAGTATATTAAAAGTGATCCCCAAGCCCCCTTCAGGCAAAAATTCCAAATGTTTTGTCCAGGCCCTGGTATATTTGTATTTTGTAGTGCCACAGCAGTGCCTCCAGGAAGTTATTGTGCAGGCACATGAAGCTCTTCTGCTCCTCTCTCGGGAATAATGCATTACATTTGAGAGGCTGCCATAGTGTACCACGTAGAGAAAAGGAATCGTGGTGCTTTGTAAGTGGAGTCTAAAATAAGTTCAACTTAAGAAATACCAGGAATTTGAAACATTCACAGTGTCTTCAACTTTCTTATCTGCTTTTGTTAACTGAAACATCCTAGGTGTTGACTTTTCAATAAAAACTTAATTTTCTACCATGAAATAATAATAATTAACTGCAACAATACATATGCTGTTCCTGTAGCTGGTACATTCTCTGAAGGACAGAATATTTTCCTGATAGGTTTTATTTCAGTGGCTGCTTGTGTGAAAATAAGTATAATTGTATGAGGGGATTTTTTCCATGTGTGAAAGAATAAAACATATAAAATGTGCTATTTGAGCTCGAAGAGAAGCTTGATTGAGTTTTCAAGGCGTTAACAAAGAAGGGAAGATTTTTATTAGTTCTAGAATATTTTTCTCTCTCACCGTTGAGCTATGCTACTAAAGTTTGCTGTGACACTGGCATATAACTAATAAAAACTCAATCATAAAATTTGATATAAAGGAACTTCATGCAGTATAACAGAATATCTAATAAGCAATGCAGTTTTCAGAGACGTGGAATAGATATCTTTAAAATGTCACCATTTCATGGTTTTTTGTAGATATTTTCAGTGCTAGTTGTAGGAAGATACTGATTTTTATTTTAATCCTGATCATAGCTAGTAAAAAGACTGCACTATATTCTGAATTAAAATAAATTTGCAGGAGGTCTCCCTAGATATTTTGTGATTTTTGAAAAATTTATTTTAAAAACGTAAATGCCAGCTTAGTTACATTCTTTCCTAAGAAATACTCAAATAGTTCAGCTTTTGTTACATCTATTTCATAATGCGTTGAGAGCATTTACACTAACTTTCAAATATTGATAGAATAAGCTATAGGAGTGTGCTACCGAGAGTCTGCCGTGAAGAGATTTGGAGACCATGTACTTTTGATTTCTACACGGTAGTTTTCCTTCTGAGTCTGTATTGAAGGCATCATTCTTCCTGGTGCCTGGGAATTTCATCTTGCTGCACTTTACCTGTAGTTATTTGCATGTCAGACACCCACTGAAGTAAGAAGAAAATGTTAGGGTCAGAGAGGGTACCTCTCCTTTTCCCCTTGGCATTATGAGACAATTACTTGTGCTGCATGCAATTAGAAACAATGAAAAATAATGCAATGTATGCAGCCTTTATAAAAAAAGATCAAAATACTTCTGGTTTTTTCTAACATTAATCAGAGGAGAGCACTTAACCAAGCAAACATCCAAGGTTGTGTGACAGAGCACAGCTGCAGTGTTCATCCTGATTATTATTTCTTTGCTGAAGTCTGTGTTCTTTCCCATAACTGACACTACACTGAGAGGTATGTTAGTGGAAGTTGGCATTACAAGGAGGATACAGGCAAATCTGGGATCCTACCTGGAACGTCAGATTCTCTGGCAGTAGTATCACTCAAAAAGTGATACCTGTTTCCTGAGGCATTGTGTCACACCTGCCTGGAAGAGCAGGTTTGGATTACTGGTATTTTGGATATGGTCATTGTTACCATCCCCATGTATAGCATGAAGTCTTTCACCTCTGAGCAGAGAGGTGATATGGGCCATACAGAGGTAGAGATCTTTCCTTCCTCTAAAACTATGGAGATTTGGTTCTGTGAAGGATGCTGTGCCATGCTTATGTGCCCAGATGTACAGGATACCTTAACCTTGAGAAAGAAACTAGGAGAAGAAAAAAAACAACACAATGGAGATGACATTCAGTAGCACTCACCTCTCTGTTGTCAATCGATAAAGAAATACCTCAAAAGGGCAGTTCTGCTCTTGGTAAGGTCAGGGTTGGGTGCCTGAGGGACTCAGCTGAGTTCATGAAGTACAGCAGGATGAATGCACATCTGTATACCCTGCCAGAGTCAAAGCCACTGGATCAGCTTAAGGATCTGAGGACTGCTATGAAACACCACGCTGCATTTTGGGGGCAACAATTTGTCCAGCACACTCAGGGTAAAAACAAAGAAATTATCCTTTAGGAATCTTTCTTTCTTTTCTCTTCCTTTCTAGCAGCCATGGGTAAGTTAGTCGCAGCTGGAGAATAAGCTCAGCTAAGCAAACAAGACAAGTTTGACGTTGTAGCAAATCAACCTTCAGTATTTCAGTTGCTGAACGAAAATTTCCACTGGCAATAATACAAAGGACTGATTCAGTCAAAACTCCCTCTGCCAATTCAGCCAGTTTTGCAGTGTGCAGAGTCAGTCATGTCCCAGCCATCTTGAAGTTGGATCAGTAGCTGTCTGGCTGCCCTGTGCTAAGTGTGCTAGATCAGGCATCACCTGTCCTCTTTCTGCTTGGGTAAAGCATAAAGCCAGAATAAATGCTGTTATCTGTCTCCAGCTAACTTTACTTACAGAAATGCAAATTTGGACTTATGCCTGATGCACATCAAATTCATCCTGCTGAGAAAACCCAGTAGAGCCCAGTTTACATAAATGCCCATTGGTCAACATGGCAGCATTCTGCTTTGGCTTCTCAGTCGTTCTGCACAGCTGAAGCACATTTACAGCCCATCCCAGACAGAATCATGTATCCAAATAGTGTCTCCAGTGGTCATTACTGCATATGAGCATAGAACATACCTATGAATGTATATGTCTTAAATAGTGTGTACTGGTCATCATTCTCTCAGGTAATTCTGCAAAAGATCTTTTGTCTTTCAGTAAACGTCTTTTAAATGCTGCCTTGCATAAGGAATGCTGAGGGGTTTGTCTGTGGTTAATCTGTCTCTTTCTGTTTGTGTATTATAATCCAGGACAAATGATACCGGCCTCCTTACTTTCAAAGACCATTTGCCTGTAACTCAGATAGTGATCACTGACACAAACAGATCAAATTCTGAGGCTGCTTGGAAAATCGGCCCTTTGCGTTGCTATGGAGACAGTGAGTACTAGCTCTTCTCAATTTCCATAGGTACAGAATGTTCTTTCCTTTTGTTTGGTTTTTTGTTTGTTTTTGTTGGGGGGGTTTTTGTTTGGTTGGTTTTGGTTGGTTGTGGTTTTTTTGGTTTTTGGTTTTTTTGGTTGTTATCTTTTTCTTGTTTTTAAATTTATTTCTCTGATGAACGGTGGCTTTCCACATGCAATTTACAGCTGCTGTCCTGTGCCAATTAACTATAGAGAAGGGCGTTGTGTTTGCAGGACAGTTCTGGAACGCTGCTTCCTTCAACACGGAGGCCTCCTATCTGCACTTCCCCACATTCCATGCCGAGTTCAGTGCAGACATCTCCTTCTTCTTCAAAACTACTGCCGTCTCTGGGGTATTCTTGGAAAACCTTGGGATTAAAGATTTCATACGAATTGAAATAAGCTGTAAGTTTCACAATTAAGAAATCTTGGGGCATTTGCCCAATTTGACAAGTGCAAGGACATATTTTCTGCTGTCTTGAGATGCCTGAAGAGGATAAGATGGAGACATAAAGACTCATTAATCTAGACTTGTCTACCGCTCCTGTCAAGAGTTTCCCTGTGTAGCTTTGGTCATTATGCTTAACCTTGTTATGTTTATCTTTCTTAAAAAAGTGTATGAATGTAGTTTTTTCAACATTTATATTTATTGTTTTGCTCTTTAGAGAAAAAAAATTACTGGTTAGATGTACCTATAGGCTGTAATTTTAGTTGAAAGTTGAAAAAGTTAATGCAACCATTCTGATGGTTACTTTTATTCTTGTATCAGTAACATACCCAGTCTGATGCAGTCCTACAGTTTCAGAGGAACTGAGTGTGTATAGTACAGCTACAAGGTGAGAGTTTATGAAGGACAGGACACTAATGCAAAATAAGACAGTCACAGTTGTAATGAGTCTTGAATACTTGAAAATATAGTGAGTGCAATGTAACTGCTACTCAGCATATAAAGGAGAATAGCAGGAAATTTAATTAGTGAGATTTTGCCTCACTCCTGTTCTGACAACTTCAAATATTTATCAGTGATAAAAGAGTACTGTGGCTTTGACATGAAATATGACTTCTGTATTCCAAATTCTGTCAAGCTTCAGGAAAACAAACTGAGTGCTATGTATTTGATAATATGCTTATAATAGCCCCAACATAAAAATTAATAAAACAGGGCCCTAAGGCCCTTCGATTCATTAAACCAATGGTAAATGTCATGGTGCATTATCACAAGGTAATGAGGTATGATTTACTGTTAATTGCACATCAAAGTCCAATTTGGTTGTACTTCAGTGTATTGTGGTTCATTCTCAGGGATATAGAAGTAAAAATGGCATCAAATGTAACAAATACTGTAAACTAAGAAGATTGTTTAGTGAAAGTTTCTGGATGTGTTTTAAACCTGTACTCCTAGAGAAATGAGTTATTTAAAAGTTTGGGAAAAATCTTTTAAACTTAGGCTTCTCATCAGTAGTTTGACGCTGTGCTTCCTTGTGCCAGATGAAATTTGCAGCCTAAAGGCCTTGTATCAAGGAAGCTCTACCCACCAGCTGCTTCAAAAGGAAACGGCTCTTTAGCAGATGCAGAGGCTCAGAATTGATCTTTGTCTATCCCTATGGAGCGTTTCCTATCTTAACTATTTAAGAAGCAGCTTCCAAAACTAGACCTATCCAATTTTTGAGGCTTGAAATAACAGGTTTTTTATGAATATTCAGTCTGAGACCTTCTGGTTTTGTGATCTGTGGACCTGATTCGTGGTCTCATAGTGCATTTAGCATTTTAGAAAGAGGAAAAACAATCAGTAGCAAGAATGTTAAAAAGTTCTAGCCTCCTTCAGGCTTCCAGTAGAGCAAGGTGGATTCCTTATTATGTGGTTTGTTTCTCAACTATTGTCCTGTTTCTAGGTGCCTGGACATATGTTACATATACAAATTTGGTTTAGGATCACCAATGAACTAGGTTTGCTCATCTATTTTTTCTTGCTTCTTGAGTCAGACTTAGGCAAACAAAATGCTTGTAGGATTCTTAACTACCATATGCAGCCAAGTTATGGAATTGTTAAGTACATGCAGTTTGAAATATTTAGTTGGAAAGAGATTCTTTGTCCTTTCTCCCGTCTTAGCATTTTTTTTTGTCCAAAATCTTTTGGTACCACTGTGTGACTTTTGTGCAGCATTTGTCACTTTTGCTTCAGAAAGAGAACTTCCATGTCTAGAGCACAGTAACTGTTATGACAAAAAAAAAGATGTGTACCGACAGCCAGATGTAATCAAAGCAGAGATCAAACAGTGAGGCTGCAGGCTTAAATTTATGTATAAGCTGCTGTGTAGGAGATGGGAGGTAAATGATCCTGTACTATTTGCTGACACAAAAGTTAATGAACCCTATATTTATGTAAGATTTCTTGATGTCAAAACCACAATTTAAATCAGACCTTCACTTCCTCTTCACATCTGTTTATCTGTTCCAGCCCCCAAAGAGATCACCTTCTCCATAGACGTCGGGAATGGCCCCACAGAAGCCACTGTGCAGTCTCCCAGCCCCCTGAATGACAACCAGTGGCACTACATCCGAGCAGAGAGGAACCTCAAGGAAACCTCTCTCCAGGTGGACAGCCTCCCCAAGAAGGTCCTGGAGGCACCTACTGAGGGGCACTTTCGCTTGCAGCTCAACAGCCAGTTATTTGTAGGTAGGGACCATAATGGTTTCTGTGGGTATCAACAGTATTTCTGTGTCCAGACTTTGGTAATGAATGCTATTGTCTCACCTTTGACCTTGTATGTGGTGACCTAATTTTGCTTTCTCTTCTTCCATTCCTTCATAGGCAACACAAAGTAAGCCCAAACAACTGCCTTTACACTCAAAGCACTAACCATAGTTTAAGCATATTATACTTTATGGTATTTTTAGGGTCAAACACTTGAAAGGTATTTATTGCCAAAGAATTGAGTCTTCCTTCTTGTGCACTACTGGCTGTGTAATTTGCTGTAGAAAATGAGATCTCTCTCTTTAGAAACAATGTAAAAGTGACAAATTTGTCATAAAAATTTCTGGGGCAAAGCCTGATTAAAAGTATGATCTTTAAAGTCTGGTCCTTCAAATGTGCCTACTGAAACTCCTATTTGGCTACTGAGTTCATGACTGAGAGAACTATGAACAGAGTCAAAGCAAACAGAGTTGTTTACCTAAAAGTGATCTTTCAAAGGAGAAGAAAAAAAATAAAAGAGAAAAACATCTCTGCATATATTTTGTTTCCCTATCACCTGTGCAAAAGAAACCTAGTTTGGGACTAGCTTTTGTGTGATAATATGATCATGGATTACAAGGGGAATCCTCTCTTTTTCGTATTCAAACACTGTCTTTCTGAGTAATCTGCTCAGTGATGGAGTGGGCTGTATCTCACATCTTATGCAGGGCCATTCAGGTAACTACCAATTCTTTCCTTAAAATGGAGTCTCTTACTTAGCTGAAATGCTATAGCAAACCTCAATCTGTCAATTCATTTTAATATAGTTTACTTGTGTATTCACTTGCTTTGATTTAAGTAGATTTTAGGGTATTTATTTGAGCTTTTTATTGTGTATGTGTGCAGTAATTACTGGGCTCTGAATGTAAAGAATTAATCTGTAATAAATAGATACAGCTGCATCAATGTCAGGAGTCCTTCCCACATAGCAGTTGATTTATACTCCCTAAAATGATCTCTGCTAGACTCAGCTGGAGAGGAACTCACTGAAGAACTCACAGAAGGGAGGCTTAAGACTGTTACAATGCAAGGTTTCTGTTTTCTGTATGAAGCATGCTGCTAATCACTTGTTTTTTAAATGCTACTTTGATCCTAAGAGCATGTTCTGTGGGAGGCCAGGCCTGAAGGCGATAGGGTTGGGCTGCTAGACACCTTAGAAATGTCAGAGAATTTTAGCCAAGTTACTGTTTCCAGCTAGAAAAACTAGAGATTTAGTGACTGGATAGACTTTTGCAATGTTTTGGTTGTATCTTTCTAAAAGACTAAATATGAAGGGTTTATCATAGGTCATCTATTAGGTATGTCATATATACCAACTGCTTACCATTCCACATCTGAAAAGCAGTATCTGCCTGTAAGCTTGCTTCTCAGCCTCAGCAAAAGAAAACATGTTACCTGAATCAACTTTATAGTGGTTTTAAAGGGACATAATTGATGAATTGCATCATAGAAATCCATGGTAGTTAAGACCTCACAAGAGAATGTGCCAACAGAAACCCTTGTCAGCAAAGACAAATGCAAAGCCCTGCACCTGTGGCAGAATAACATAATGCATCTGTACAAGCTGGAAGTTGAGTGGATGGGTAACAGCTGTGCAGAAAAGGTCCCATCGGTTTTGGTGGTGAAGTGAATCTGTACCTCATCTGAATGTAGCTATGGTTTAAGGAACAGGTTGGACAGTTGATTTCAGCAGTGAACTCCAACCGATTTTACTCTAATATCTACAGAAAACTCTAGGATATAGGTATTTGTCTCAGTCAAGTGAAAAGTTCTCACCGAGAAATAAATAGATTGCATTCAGTTGTTCATCCACACTTTTACTGAACTATGAACAAAAGGGACAGAAACACAAATGTTTTTGGGAGTGCTTTTTCAGCCCTTAACTCTGCCATGTGGAAGGCCAAAATTCTTTGTGACTTTCTGAGTTTTTCTAAGAGCTGTCAGAATAGTTGGAAACCTGGGCAGCTTCCTGATTCTGATACTGTTAGTCCCTGGGTGCTCCAGGGAAATGTGGCAGAATTCCAATAATACACAGATGTGACATAGTTTGTTTCTCGTGAAGGTCTCATTCCAATCTCTAATAAACAGCTACTGATTTAATACCTCAACCATGCAGAGTGAATTTTATCCCATCTGAAAAATAAATACATAAACAGCAATGTAAATTGGAAAGAAGCAACAGCACATAATATTACTCCCTACTCCCCCTATAATCCACAACATATTTGTCTCTGCAGCATTCTGCCTACTGACAGTGATTAAGGGGTTCCCAGTCTTAATGACTCTCTGTGGCAGGCTTCTGAGGTAGCTTTCTGTGTGTGGGAAGTGGAAGAGAGAAATGACTTGTATTGCCAGTACACTCAAGCAAGCTTGGATTTTAATGCAGCCTAAAGGAGTTAGAAAACCATTTTTCAATTTCTTTTAGTGGGTTTTGGGTATCTAAGTGCTTTAGGCTATGTTATAATCCTCAGTCACAGCATGAACATCCTTACACCTGGCTATGTTTCTTCTCTTAATTTAAAAAAAAAAAAAAGTACTGTGAAAAGACCAGATCCCAAACAAACGTTCAGGTTAGGTAATATCAACTGCACCAAACTGCCCAGTAACAAGTCAATTTGGCACATTACTTGCTCAGAAGGAGCAGGCAAAAATCATTCATTTTGACGGACAGTCTTTTTCAGCACTCAAAATGTGGGACAAACTTTTGTATAGTTCAGCTGTGCCTGGCATATCCTTGTGGTCCTGGAGGAGATGGATCATTATCTCCTCTCATGGCATAGTCTGAGATGAAGTTCTGCCTTACCTAGTGCCAAAGGCATGACCATAAGACTCCATCATAGGGAGGGGAAAGACAGTCATCATAGGCCTCTTTGAGAACAGGATTTGAACTCAGAGAAACAAAATACAAATCCTAAGAAATTAATTTGATGAATAAAGCTTTGATCAGAAGTGTTTGTGCTATTCATTTGGTATGTTATGGACACTGGCAAAATTAAGTGCTTGGGTTTCTTGTTCTGTCTTGGGAACAACTGAGCAAGGAAGGAATCCTTGAGTGAACCTCCTCTGTCCTCTAGGCAGTCGTACCCCAGGGAGACCAAACCCCAACAACATCTCAACATCTGAGAAACTTTCTTTGTAGACAGAAGAAAGGATAAGAAAAGAAGGGGTATACTTTGTTTACTATTATTGGTTTTAAAGGCATCTGTAGGCTCCTTGGAGGCCAGGAGGAGGAATTAACGCCTAACTCTTTCTGGATCCTGTCTGCTTTGTACATCTTTCAGTTTGAGACTAACAACTGTGACTTGGAGGTGTCCTGAGGAATATCACAGCAAGTTCACCTACTCCTGATTATGATTCTTATACTTCTCTGCCCTTTGCTTTTCTTTGTATCGGTTACATAAAGCAAGGATGCTCTTAATACTTATTCACGCTGCTTCAGCCTCCCTAATCCAGTTTTTTCCAGCAAAAAGTCCTTTTTTTTTTTTAAAGCAAATCCTGAACTCATTGCTAAAATGTTAATTATTTAGCCAATTGTGTCACCAAGCTATGCTATGAGTGCTCAGTTGTGAGCTTCTTGCCCCCTCTTCTCGGATTCTCTCTTCTTTGCCCAAAGGCTCCTCACTAAAATTCAGCTGCATAAACACCTTGCTGAAAACACTATGGCTCATTTGACTGTCACCTCCACTCAACACAGTACACTCTTAACTTCGGTGTTTATGGTCCGTAGGCTTATCCTAAAATCTGTTTTCCTGAATAAAACATTTAGGTCTCATACATTGAATTGTCCAGTCCATCGGGCATATTTGAGTAGGAAGAATCTGCAAAGCTTGATTTGAGGAAGAGTTTTGTTTTTTTTGTTTTCTATTTTTCTTTACTTTGCGGGAATGGATATGAAGATTAGGTCTAGTGAATTGAAGAAAACTGCTCAAAATAATAAACAGATTTGCTTAAGCAATACTGTGTGTATCTAGGATCATATAATTGGTCTGTGTTAAGCCCTATACTCTCCAGACATTATAAGAGGAGAAGAGTGAGAAACTTAACATGGCCTTCCAAATGCTTTAGAGAGCAATAAGAATGTGGGTAGTGCAATAAACATGACATCTGTGGAACAGTTAGCAATAATTTTTACTCATTCTTTGTACGATTCAGCTGGGATTTGTATGTGTGCAGAGAAGAGGCAAGGAAACTGTCATTTATCCTTGTAATATTTGTGGTTTCCTCCTGTGCAAAAGAAAACAAAGTAACCAGTAACCTTAAAGGAAGAAATCACATTTCTACTTATGTGGACATGACTGAAAATTCTGTATGATACGTTTTGTTTTGGAACAAAATCTTCAAGCAAAACGGTTGTGTGTGCACCGTGCAGCAAATGCAGAAGGCCTGATTCTTGTCCTCAGAGGGTCTCTAAAATAAGTGAGCTAACATTTGCTCTCCTGTAAAGAATATCTAAGAATGGCTAAAGAGAAATTTGAAAATATTTATTTCTCTGAGAAAAGTATCATAAAATTAGCATGAAATAAATGTGTCTCATGCATACTGTCTATAGTTCAATTACTCTAATTTGAATGCAGTATTTCTGCTATTAATGTTCCAGGAAGAAAACCCTAGTGTTGCAGAACACTAGGGTTTGGGTGAGGTTGCTTTTTAGACTGTTACTGCATTCTGGTTAGTTCGCAGAAATCTTACTTTATTAATTTATGAAAAAAAATAGATACTCTTCTGCAAGGGCTTATCAAATGATGTAATCTTTTATCTCATACACTTTGATATAGAACCAACTTCTACAGAATAATAATAACTTCTTTCATACTACTTTTGCAGGAGAATCACCAATAAAGCTAACATTTCAGAGTCTGCAAATGCTGATAACTCCTGAACCACAATTAGATTTCCTAGCAGCGATTGAAATTGAAGTATCTTCAAAAGCAAAACATGGCAACTGCCAAAAAAAAAGCCTATGATAAGAAAAATGGTTATATTTTCATAGAGTAACAATTGTAATTATTATTCTGAGAGACCACCTCTTATGGAAAAAGCACCTTCATTGTAACACTTTTAGCAATTTCATTGGACAGATGCAAAGCTAGATAGCTTGTAGAGGCCCTCTTGCATAGTTCCATACAGGTCTGGTCTTCAGGAAGAAATGCAATTATATTTAACAATTGTAATAAATAGCACATCTATGACCTGAACTCATGTTTCTTGCTACAACAACCATTTACAGGTGCCATGTCAGGTTGGGAAGTCATTCATAAATTCTGACCCAAGTCATATCCCTTCAGCCAGCAGGCCTGGTGCTGAACATGAGTCATTCCTGCTATCTGGACTCATCAGCATGTTAACTCACTCACCTGCTGTTGGGATTGGGGTGTTATTTATGCTTTGTACTATGGCAACAAATAGGAAAAAAAAAACAACAATATTTTTGGTTTGATTTTCTCATGTATTTGGTGATATGCAAACATACAATAAAGAAACTAATCTTTCTCCCAAATGAATTTGCAGTTTTAATGCTAGACGGGAGAGTAGACAAGCCAAAAAAGAGAAGAATAGCAAAAAAAAAGTGTCACATACAACTTTTTAGTCCTTTCATAAAAATAGAGACCTTTAGTTCCCAGGGTTGTCCATCTGTCATCTTTTGCCACTTTATGTATTGGCATATAATATATATTTTTTTTTTTAAATCGTGGATTCATATTTGTACCGCTAGATTGAAATTAATGGCTTTCATTACTGTGAAGACTCACCAATGAGTGAATGCCCCTTTTTCTCTCCTTTTCAGGAGGAACAGCTTCCAGACAGAAGGGCTTTTTGGGATGCATTCGATCTCTGCATTTAAATGGACAGAAACTTGACCTTGAAGAGAGAGCTAAAATGACACCTGGTGTTAAACCTGGATGTCCAGGGCATTGCAGCAGTTATGGTAACCTGTGCCATAACGGAGGTAAATGTGTGGAGAAGTATACTGGTTACTTCTGTGATTGTACCAACTCAGCCTATGAAGGACCTTTCTGCAAGGAAGGTAGGCAGCAAGCTTTGATTCTAATCTTCAGCACCGTTTCACTACAGCATGGTTGTCAGCTCGGTGTCCCCTGTATTGCAATACATTCTATTATCAGCTGTACCTTCAGCGTTACTAAGAGTTTATCTGAAGCAGACTACAAGACCTTTTTTTGACTTCAGTGTTGGTCTCAGAAATGAAAATGATGTCAGCTGTACTAGTAAAGTTTACAACTATTTCCCGCTATGATTCCTGTATTCGGTGGCATATAACTTGCCCCAGACATAAACAAATAGGGCTGAATTTTTTCATACAGGTGTTTGCCCATGTCTGAACATTTAGTTTAGTTGTTCTTAAACCTCATCCCATTTTGTCCACTTTAAAAAAATCTCGAGAGCTTTTCTTTACAAAGTTTTAGAGCAATGATGTGACAAAAAGAGGTAGTCTTTTTATGTTCTTTTGCCATTTCTGTGACAACCCATCCAAACGTTAAGAAATTTTTAAAATAAGCATGAAGCATTCAGGAGAAAACTGATTTAGATGGTTCAGTCTTTGGTGAATGTGTCCTCACTGAACCCTTCTGGTGGCTTGTAGAAGATGCTGTCAACACCAGAAAAATGAGCAGGGCAAATAAGGAACCTCTAATTTAGAGAGCATGCTTTTTGAAACTAACAAAATTCCTTCTCAGTGACAGCAATATGCAGTGTGAATTTTTAATTTCCATGGCTGCCCCTCACCTCACAAATGCGAGGGGTTTGCTAAGTAGGCTGCATCATCTGTTGCTGTAAATTGGCTTAGCTGTTATCATGGTTTAGGCGTGGTGTTCTCCAATTTATTTTTCCCACTGAAACCACTCCGAACCACATGCTCTCGCTTGCTCCCCCCTCTGTTTCATTCTCCCTCCCCTGCAGTGGACTAGAGAGGAGAATTCGAGGCACAAAAGGTAAAGATTACAGGTTGAGATAAGAACAATTTACGGAAACAACAACGAGATTAAAAACTGAAAAGTGACATTAACAATACAGGGTACAAGAAAGAAGTGAACAATTTACACAGAAACTCCCTGACAATACTCGACTGCTCCCTCCCCATGCTACACCGACCCAAAAGGGACGTCTTCCCCCATCCCCAGAAAATTATGTGAGCTGGCATAGAATAACCTCTGGGTCCTGGCCATGCCCCCTCCTGGCTAATGGAAAAATAACCCTGTCCTGTCTGGAACTGGGGCAGTTGTACCGCAGTCCATGGAACTATGCTCCCTCATGAAAGCTGAGGATTTGGCACGGATACCACAAGAGACATACCAAATACCCATATATCGTCCCATTAGGAGATGCTGTTGTAGAGGTGAAGCTGCTCTACTGGAGAGTTACCATCCTGACTTTACTGAAAAAAAAACTCTGCTGTTATCCCATCTGTGTCATCCATGGCCAGACTATGTTATCTATATTGAAAACAGAAACATGAGTTCTCAGGATCCGAGCATGTATAGGTAGATGTTCCTCTTCATTTGATGCTACCAAAGATAGCTTTCCTTACTGGCTGTCTTTGGTCAATGTGTTGTTTTAATAATGAATTTGTTTAAAAATGAGACTGGAAAAAACAAATATGTTGTCTTTACTGATGGAGGGAAGACAGGGAATATTGCCTTACAGAGAATATTCAGTTGTCAGAAGGTGGTGAACTAAGCATTTATTTGGCTGGCAGACATTTCAGGCTGTTCCATCTTGTGGAGCTCTGATTCTAGCACTAAAATTGCTGAATTTATGTTTCCATTCACTATCCCTCCCTGTGCCAGACAAACTGACTGTAAGGAAGGACACACTGCTTATCCAAATGAAGGAGTACTGTTGTCAACTGGGTCGGGGCATTTTGCAATGTTCTATTTCTGAGGTAGTCAGTTCACGTCCATTCCTTCCTGGGAGATCTGAAAATGCAGTAGGTGAAATTATTCCCTTGGTTTACATATGTTTTCAGAGGTTTCTGCATTATTTGAAGCCGGCACTTCTGTTACCTATATTTTCCAAGAACCTTATCCTGTCACGAAAAATGCAAGCACCTCAAGCTCTGCCATTTATGCGGATGCTGTCATGTCCAAGGAGAATATTGCATTTAGCTTTCTCACAGCACATACCCCAAGCCTTCTACTGTACATCAACACCTATTTTCATGAATATTTGGCCGTGATTCTCTCCAAGAATGGTAAGTAGTCTTAATTTGCTACCAAAGTGAGACCAGTGTAACTTTGTAAAGATTTTGTTGCTTTGATTTTGGTTTGTTTGTTTTCTGGTTTTTGGATTTTTTTGTGAGAATAGGATAGAATTCTGCACTGATTAAAGTTAGTTTTTGTGTCTGCAACTTTATCAACTTCATGACATTTGGTTCATGAAAATGGCCATCACTCTTGTTTATGTCCCTTTATTTGGCATTTGGCTACACTTGCCTGTTCAGTCTTTGAGTAATCATTTTGTTGGGGCTTAAAATGTACTTTGACTTCCATTTGGCAAGACTATGTAATAGCAATTCCTTGCTATTTATTCCACATTGTGATCCATTAGGCCACCAAGATAAGGGAATGAGAAATACCATGTCTGTACAAAAACACTTGGTACAGAAATATATTGGAATTTTATCTTTCTTGGCACATGTATTGCTCTTCACTGGATTTTTTCAATGTAATATGGTCAGTACGTCTGAATATTAAAGCCAGAAAATGTCAACGTTTTCTAGGTTTACTGACCAAAACAGGAGGTGTAAGTCCATTTTCTGTTAAAAGGTGCATGAGGTGGGGATTTTTTGAAAACGTTTAAAGATTTAGGGGCTCAGGCCCTGTGTCTTCTCAGAAAGACACTGACTCCTGAGTCCTTGCAGTGCTTTCAGAAAAATCACTCCAGACAAACATCATCCTAGGCAAATGGGAATGTTTGAATTATTCAAGAGTTATCAGGCACTGGAGCACTGGAAGTGATGAGTAAGCTTATTGGTGAGTCAGTAGCCTGTGGCAGAACAATAGAAAGTTAATGTCATGTGGCTGAATATGTACATTTGACCGAATGACCCAGACCACTCTGAAGCCTTTCAAATTCCAAAATACTACACTTTCAAGTGCTGTCAAATGAAACTATAAAAGGGGAAAAACAAACAAACAAACAAAAAAAACCCCCCAAAAACCAAACAATCAAAACTGTTTTTATTCTCTGTATGGATTTTGCAGTAGTTTCTCTTGGTTATGTTATGTGGCTAGCATTCAGGCTGGCAAGGGATGAGTATCCTAATCCCTGGGAGAAGCAGCTGCAATAGTAACTGCCTGAACCAATTTACTCCAAGTGAAGTTGTGCCAGGGAAGTGGGACTACTGAGGTAACCCTAACCCTCTCCTGTTCAGTCCCAGATTTCCATCTGTAATTTGCTCTTGGAGGCAAGTGTTTATGATTTTAGATATATGAATATTTTAGTGTGTAGCTCCAGGGTGGTAGAGGTTATACCCTGCTGAGGTGAAACCTTGGAATCTGCTTCTCAGTTACACTCAGGTCTCTTGATGCCACTCAGGCAATCAGAAATAACCCTAAAGTGAATGAAAATGTAATATCCATTTAAGTCACCTTTATTGTTGCCAGAGTTGTCTAAAATGACCTTAGAAACACGAGCCAATTGACTTTTATTGATGAAATGCACTATACATAAACTATAATTGACAAGTTCTGGAAGTAGGGGTTTTAGTGTTGGTTGGGGAAGGGGTTGGGATTGGGACATAGCTTGTAGCAGCTCAGCAGGAGAAGAGATTAACCTTTCTTTGTGTCAGCTGCAGCTTCTGCAGATCTCTGCTTTGGCTTAGTTGGAGACAGGGACTCAGTACATCTTGAAATTAAGTGGAGCAGCTCTCAGCACAGTCAGGCAAAATAAACAATGGTGCTTTTTTCAGATCTGTACCTCCTTTTACTCACGTGTAATATGATGGTGACAATTACTCAGAGGGCTGGTGAGATGTCAGGCTCCACAATTCTGGACTATGAAACATAACACTATATGCAAAGAATGATTAAGATAACTAGCTGACTTTAGTTAAATCCTGAAAGTCTCCCTCAGGATTACTCTGTGCATGCTTCTGTGGCTTTCTTTCAAGACAGTCATTCAATCAGGTATATTCTCTACCTTTTGTCCCAAATGTAATAATTTGTTAAATTTCATATCCTTTTACTTTTTAGCCTTTGGAAGTGAAATTATTTCAATGAAAATAAGGTTCAGATATGTTACTCTTTCTTCCTCCAAGAGGTTTATGCTTGCCATAAAGTTACAGGACTATGAATATCAATGTCCTTTGTAGCACTAAAAGTGAGCGTGATTCCATCTCTCTCATTGGCTCATTTTCAAGGAATCTTGCCGAGTATAGTAGGACATAGGCAGGTCCCTTCTGGATAACTGATTTGTTAAATAAAGGTTAAGTTCCTGGAGAAATGGGAATGGGCATTCTCAGTTAAGAGGTGAGCAGCAATATTCTTTACCATAATCCCAAACCCCTTTCCTCTTGTTAAGAAACGGTATTAAAACAGTCTATATATACTTTAATACTTCTCCTTTTTGAACAGTTTTTCAAGCTAATACTCATGTATCCTCTTTTATCCTTATGTTATTCCTCTTTTCTATTATCTGCAAAATAACTGGGCAAATTATTAGTTAATAAAAGAGATAATGAGAATAATGTTTCTTGTATTTCAGACTTCCTGTGTTAAATATTTAACATAAAAGAAATTAAAGTATTTGCAAGGATTATTCATAGTTAGGGTACATTAAAAGGGCTTATATGAAAGTGGACTTGTATAGGCAGCTGTGGTCTAATACAGTCACGTGTGAAGTATTTCCTGTAAAATTATTTGGTTCCAATAAATTTAATAAATTAACCCCAACATTCTTTGCACTGTCAGTCTCTAAAGAAGGACATATTATTAGAAGAAACAGTATGTATCAATTGAGATACCAGAACTCTGGTAGTGAAATTATTCCTTTGGAGTTACCCAACCTGCCAATGTCAGGTCTGCAAAAGGAGACTCAAAGCTACTCCCTCCTGGCTTCACCCATCAGATCAATGCTGCCCACACAGAAAGCTCTTCCAGTACTTGGAGCCTTAGAGGGCAGGGGGTTCATGGAGGAGGTAAGGTTATGACAGGTGTTGGGTACCACCATATGTCAATGCAGAAGCTACAGTTCTGCACCCATTCAGATGACTTACTATAAAATGAGATGCTCAGTAGTTCCTGGCAGATAATATTTCTAGAAGCAGTTCCCAACCAAAGAACTCATCTGTATCACAGAGGTTGTTCTTAACTCTGATCAGTTGACTCATGTCCTGGCAGTTTAAGGGTAAGTTTTCGAAAGTTGATGTTTTTAAAGACGACTTAGGGATTCTTTCCACCATTAGTTAATACTGATGCTTCTAAATCATACCTGAGCTTTTGAAAATTATGTGCATATAAGAACATTATCCTCTCCAGTCTTACATATTGTACTTATGGATTTTTACATTACACCTACATATATATGTGTATGTACTGTATATAGATAGGGGTATATCTATCTATCTATCCATCTATCTATCTATTTATCTATTAATCCATACACATGTATATAGATGGGTATGTATGTAAAGCTTACATAATCCCATTGTTCCCGCGTCGAAAAGATTAGCAGTACTTTAATGATTGGTAGGATTGGCAGTGCATTTTTAATATTATTTCTGTAGAAATTTCAAATTACAGTGCCTGTTACTAAGCTACAGAAAATTGGTAAACAGCTCTAATTAGCCTTTTCAGTGTGCCAGTCCACAGAAATTATCCACATCATGGGAAGATACTACCAAGAAAAAAATATTTTTTCTTTCCCAGGCTAGCTTTTCACTGTACATTTTTGCATTTACATGATTTCACAAAGTTATTATATTTCTCAAAGTGCCATTATATTGTTATTTTTGCCTTGTTCCCTAAAGGTAATAATTGATGGGGGAGAAAAATGTTAAGAAAGAAACTGCTAGTGCTTTTCCTTTCCCCACTCTTCCTCCTGCCCTGCAAGTAATCGAATGTGTTATGAATATGATGAAGTACTTTGTCTAGAAAATGTTTTCCCAAATATTTGATTCTCAGTTTTGTTGGCTTTCTCCATGGAAACAATATGAATCCTAATCTAGAAAAACAGCAGATAGCCAGCATCAAAGAAGAGAGATAGAATCTCAAACTATCCTAGAGTGATTGAAAATTTATCTGTATTTACTATCTGATCTCATAAGAAACTAAACAATTTGAGTCCTTTTTTTTCTTGCTATCCAGCACCTATCGCCATCACACTGAGCTCTGTTCTCCATTTCTTTTGGAAAGCAAGACTCTGAAGTTGCATAGGAAAGATTACAGACAAGGAAAAAACCACAGTTAAAAACAGAAGTACAAACGAAAACAACTTGAGTAATTCTCTAATGCTCAGCATATGGTAGCAATGCTTATATCAGCTCCACTTCCCTATAAAGTCTTGAAATCAGCTGATATTTGAAGTAAATAGGAAAAGAAGTAAAAATGTGTAACAGAGGTAAGCTGAATTAACACTCTACAAAAGAGAAGCAAATGTTGTCAGTGAGAAGCTATTGATTTTTTATTTTTTTTAATAAACTCAAAATCTCCTGTAGTCACTTGTCTCTAAGTCAGAAGCAGCCTTTTTGTTGAAAGCATATAAATTCTCCTTATGGTTTTTGCTTTCAAGTCTGTTGAGCTGCATCTCCACCAGCCAAAGCTTTTGTCAGTCAGTGGTAAAGAGAGGCAAAAAATCTAGTTCAGTCTTTTAGGCAGAGAATCTTTTGATTCTGTTCATGCTGTACACTCTGAAGTTCAATGGAGCAAAACCAAAATAATTAGGCAAAATAGGACTCACCGAAAGACTGAGATGGATCTGGGAGGTTATTTTTCTGGTTCTTTTTCTTTACCCCCTTGTGGGTTCTAGTTTTGGGACATGGATACCACAGGACCTTAACTAACTGCTGCCTAAAGACCCTCTAGACTACATTGTTACTAGTGCAGTTGCCTTCCCTTTTGAGAACACCTTGTGGCTTACAGACTCTCAATAGCCATTGAACAACCTGCACAATTTATGTGACTGAAGTGGAAAATGATGCCAAGGTTCAGGTATAGTTATTTTTAACAGATCAGGAGCAAGAAAGATAGTCAT